CCTATGCTACAGCTTTTCATCACCAGGATTACCAGTTTGACAAATGCTGCAAAATGAAGCTTTAGGCAGGAAGACATTTGTGGTTCGACTGTCTCCACACTGATGTTCACCTATCCAACTCTATTTTACTGAGTACTAAAGGAGCTTAATACTCAACCCTTAAGGTTTATAAATTAAAGACATCTGGTCCAAATCTTCTACCACCCCAAGTATGCAAAATAGGATTGAATGCAGTATTTTAAAAGCACCTTGTCCAGGGGTACCTGGGTGGCTCAGTCTGAGGTTAAGCATCTGACTCTTGGCTTTGGCTCAGATCATGATCTCATGGTGGGTGGGGTTCTTCGGATTTTCTCTCTCCCCCTCTCTGCCCCTTCCACACTCTCATTCTCTCTCAAAAATAATATACTTAAAAAAAAATTTTTTTTTAAAGCACTTTGTCCAGGACACTGTAAATACCATCTTGTTGATTCTTAATTTGCTGATCAGGTTACCAAGCACCTCAAAGGTAAACTGACTTCTTCAAAAAGTCATCTAGAAAGCAGGTATCTGTCATAACCAAGCATAAATATACATTCTGACTGCAGATTTTGAAAAGACAAAAGTGCTTGGAGCCTGGGCTCTTGAAAAGGAAATGAGGGACAAATCCAAACTTAGGGGGGAAACACAGATATCTGTGAAAAACATTCAAATGTGAACAAACAAGCTATTACTTTCATACCTTTTGGGGTGAGTATGTGTAATTTATACATGTTAATTACTGGCTCCTGTCCAGAAATGAGTACTGGTTTAATAAAAGTTCAAATTAAAACCCAGTATTCTCCAGGAATATTCAGACTGGCCTTCCTTGACTAAGCCAGTCAAGCAAACTTCCTAAGCCTCCAATCCCACTGGCAGCTACACTCTTAGCCTCCCCCCCTTAATGTCTTTGCAGGTTCCCTACCCCTAACCTTTATTTTCCATACCCAAGGAGAATATGATCCCAGGACACTGAACAGTGTTGCCTGAGACTGGACATGACAAAAACCGGTGTGATCCATGGCCTACTTCACTCCTAGGTAGCACTCATTTAAAAAATCCACTGCTTCACTGTTGTTCTTATGTACTGCACTCACACCTACATCCACAGTCCTTTGCTCAGCTGTGTGACAGCTCCACCAGGCCACCCCAATCTCCCCAGAATGTCCTAATTCGGGTCTATGAGACAGCTAGTATTTAATAAGCAGTGACTATACATGAGGCCCCACACTTGTCACATGTTCTCATTTGATCCTTCCATGGCATTATAAAGATTACGAGCAAAGTCCTAGACAGACAGTTCAATTCAAAATGACTCAATTCCTTGATCTACTGCTTTCTAACCATATGATCTTACGAAAAGTTTCTTAAGGGGCACCTGGGGGGTTCAGTGGTTGAGCGTCCAATTTCAGCTCAGGTCACTATCTCCCAGTTCATGAGTTTGAGTCCCACATTGGGCACGCTGCTGTCAGCCCGTTGGCACAGAACCCGCTTCCCATCCTCTTTCCCCCTCTCTCTGTCCCTCCCCAACTTGTGCTCTCCCAAAAAAGAATATTTAAAGAAAAATTACTTGATCTACAGCCTTAATTTCTCCATTTAAAAAACAGGTTTAGAAATAATGGCATTTGGGTTGCAATGAAGATTAAATGAAGTTACTGTATGAAAAGCACTTTATCAGTGCTTAGCAAGTGTTCAATAAATGTTTTCATCTATAAAATCTCCATTTTATAGATGAAAAACCTAAGACAGAGTTCCTGACAGGCCCAAGATTACACAACTAAGTGACAGAAACACAATTCAGACTCAGGAAACCTGATTTTAAAGCCAACCCCCCTAGTCATTCTGTGCCAAGTCAATTTTCCATTCAAACAAATCCCATCTCCAGAACATTTTAACTAGTGGAACTGCCCCTTATCTTCCACTACCCTAGCATTGCTTATTAACCGTAACTAGTTCAATGAGGTAGGTCCTGCCTCCCCACATTATAAATTCAAGGTCAGCCCAAGGGCTCAGCTACTTAATACTGTATTTCTGGCACTACAGACACAATATTTCAAATGATTTACACTATGTTTGAAGTAACTTTTAAGAACTACCCCCCGCCCCCAGAAAACTTGATTCTACCCTTCATGATCTAAAGGTAACTATAATTTAGGTGAATATAAATTTTTCACTTGCTTTACATCTTATCTTCTCTATTACCCAAACTTTGATTACATATCATACTAGTCCATAAATCTAGGAAATTATTTTCACTATAACCCAAGTCATCCCCTATTAGGGTCAGCTTACTTGGCTTGATAGGACAAAATGACCGGAGAACCACCAGTCTATACACAGACTTTGGCCAAGCTTAACTGATGGGCAGGACTAGAAAAGCAGCCTACCCAGAGGGTGACCACTGAAGGATACTTCCATTACCTCCACTAGAAGGGATGGGGTCCCAGGCCTACCCCAGACAGAATGTGAAACAAGGTCCAAACCTCAGAAGAGAATAGGCTGACAAGGCTAGAAGCCTCTATGTGGTCTCATTCCAGGAATAAATCATCTTTAACTTCTCCAATGAAGGTCAAGTTGTAGAGGTGATAGATGCAGGAGTGCAAAACCTGGGAGTCCATATTCCCCACCCTCTTATCCCAAAACACCCATTAAATGTATGTCCTCCCATTCACTCAACCCAACCATCTCCAAGTTATAGGACCCAAGAACTCAGAAATCCACAAAAAGCAAAGTATGAAGAGTGGGCTACAGGATTAACACAGGTGGCGTAATTTAAATAAAAGAGAAAGAAGGAAATTTTAAAACAATCTGCAAGAAAGAAGAGAATGACAAATGATTTAGCTTTGTAACCTCTTCTGCTTGAACAACGAAAACCTTGAGGGCTGAGGCAGCAAAGGCATCAGGACCTAAAGATGTTAGGCAGTTAAGAGAGATCATCTAGGCCACATCACTCTGAAGAACTTGGGCTGCAATAAAGAACATCAACACTGGCCCCAAGAGCACATTAAGCTGTTTTTCACAGGAACCATAGGATTGGAATAGTGGCAGAACCCTCACACTGGAGAAAGGAAAACAGAAAGCCATATGACAAAGAAATATTACAAATGCACAGGCCACAATCACAGCCCTGTAATCAACCAACCCCTCTACTTTCCAGAGGAATAACCAGAGCTAAGTTTGTTAGCTTGGTCCTCAGATCACCCCACCCTCCCTGCAGAAGTGACAAGAAACCTATCAGACTCCCCCCTCCCAGTCCTTCAAAGAAATGAAAAGGAGCAGCAAAGCACCTGCAGGTAAAGCAGTGAGCAGAAAGAGCAAGGAAAGAGCTATGGCCCCAGTACCCCACCCCCAAAGATTACCCCAGTTAGCATCCACAAGAGCTCATTCTTATAAAGATCATATGCTTTTTTGCCCACTGGGCAGAGGGAAGGGAACACTTGGGGCAAACTCCTCTGTCACAAGGCAAGTTCCCAAGGAACCAGTGAAAGGCAGAAAAGAACCCACCTGAACTCCACTTGATTGACACACACAATTCCCCAAAACCACCTTGCCCCAAAAGGCTCCCAAATCAAATCTCTAAAGCCCCCTTTCCCAAAGGAACAGCAGTAGGTTCCTACCCAACCAGTCTTCTGTTCACTCATTTATTGGTGAACCCAAGCCTCCATTTTGTCCCTGGCTGGAACTTTTTTTTTTTTTTTTTTTTTTTTTTTTGCCCAGGTCCTCTCAACCCCAGTCCCAGAATAAAAGTACAGAAAGAATCTTCAATTTCTCACTCTATCCCAGCATCCCTACTTGGGTTATGCTTGTACCTCACCCCCCTTTCCAGTCTGTGAGGACACCTTCAAATATAAATCCAGGAAGAAAACATCTGGAAACCCTAACAAATGGAGACGGGGGAAGTCTCAGGGAACTGATGGCAGAAGTTGGCAGGACGCAGGAAGGACACTCCATGGTGATGTTCAACAGGCGAAATACCAGGTTTATGGCCATATCCCCCATACCTGCTTCCAATCGTCCCTGCTCCTCCTCTCTCCAACCACAGGGAAGAACCAGACAGACACCACCCTTACCCCACTACTGGCTCCTTTCCGGGTCCCAGCTCCAGCACTCACTCAAGCCCACTGCCTGAAGGATCCACTAGCCTTATAAGCACCAAAGCAGTCCATTTCCCCACTTCTCACTTGAGAAGCCATACCCCAGAACCATCCTGCTTGGAGCACAGGTTGTTTCCGAATTGGAGATAAATCAGGGGGAAATGGGCAAATAAACTTACTGCACTTGGTGTGGTTAATTCAACTTAAGGGCTGAGGAAGTCCGAGCAACTTGGTCTGGACTCTCCAGTCCTAAAGATGGCAGACTAACGGGACGACGATGACCTAAATCCCTCTGGGCAGCAGGGAAATCACTAGTTCCCACATTCAAACCCCTTTCCTCATCTGCCCTGGATTCTCCAGCTGCCTTTCCTTTAGCTGTCATGTCTTCCTGGATGTCAAACTGGCTTCTCTGAAACTGAGTGCAATCAAGACAATGACAACCAGGTTTCCAAACTGCAAATTGCCCCAAGTTTTATTTGTAGTCCATACAAAAGGGAAAAAAAATTAAGGTTTTCTAACACCACCTACTTGGGGAGATGGGGATGTGGGACTGTGCCACTCAGCATCAGCTAGAACATCAGGGGGTCAGTAGGGATTTGGACATATACCGACCGTCCCGACAGGAACTCAGTCTCAACACAGTCTATAGTGGGACAAAGTCAGGGCCCCCTGGACTGCTGGCACACTGGCGCACAGGAAATGGTTAAGCTAACCTTTTCCTGGCCTCCCTCACATCTAAAAAGAAAAAGGCGCCGCCGACCTCAGTTGCAGGTTGCTTCCCCATCCAGACGACCTTAAATATCGCGCACAAAAATAAAAGGGAGCCAGGAAAAAATAAAAACATAAAAGAAATTCCCATCCTGGGGAGATGGGAGGCAGGGGAGAGGGGAAACCGCAGATCTAGAGCCAGTAGCAAGATTTGCTGCTGAGGCGAAGGAACAAAGTAGGTTACTGCCGAACACTCAAAAGGATCATCTCCTGGGGAAGGCCCACAGGGTAGAGGGGATGAAAAACCGCAAACGGGAGAGGTATGGGCCAGTGGTTATAACCTGGGCCTGCACCCTACCCGACCTCTCCTCTCCTTCCCTCCCTGTGGTGCCCCATGCCAGGATGGCCCTACATGCGGCGCTGGTAGCCAGAGTGCATCTGAGCTGCCCGCAGGTAATCATTATAGGAGCCCGAATAGCGTGCGTAATCGGAATGGGCATCGGGCAGGCGACGGTAATCCAGCGAGGACTTTGTCGGCGAGCGGCGGAACGAAAGCTGCGACTCTGATAAACGGCGGTAATCAGAGAGCTCGGCTAAACGCCGGTCGGAACCATACCTAGTCGAGAGAAGAAGACAGTTGGTGAATGAGACAATTGAGGGGAGGGCTCCAGGTGGGCATGGGGGAGATGCCAATGGGGATAGGGAGGGTGTGATCAGATTGGTCTCCAACAAACAAGATTTTGTCCGAAGGCTCATCACCCTATCCAGGGCAAGAAATCAAGCCTGGTTCAACCAGTGGGAAACCAAGCCCACCACTGAAGCCCTCCCTTCTCAACTGGCCAAGGTAGATTTTGGTCTACATTCCCAAACCACAAACAAATTATCCCCACCCTGGGCCCTACACAGAAAGACCTTGGTTGTTTATCAACAGAACGGCGGACGAAAGCAAGGTCCCCAACTTCCCAAAGAGTGGACGCACCTCATACACCTTGCCTTCAGCCAGTGAGTGCCAAAGGGACTATTTCAAACCCACCCTACCAAAGCCAGGACAACCACATAACAGGCTTAAGGATCCTTGAGACGGTGGGAAAGGCTATGGGCCACAATCTTGCAGGCAGTAGCTCCAATGGCACTTGGGGTAGCCTAGAGAGGTGACACTTTTCCCAGCCTGACTAGCTGGTACCACCCCAGGCTGAGCACTAATGCTCCACCTGAACCCTGGTGATCAAAAAAGTTTACAGACATCACCCCCCTCGGCCTTTGGACATCCCATGGGAGTAGATGAGAGAACACCAAAGGAGGGGCCAATGGCTCCAGTTTCCCTCCCATGCCAACCTCAGCCCCTTGCCCTAAGCCCCAGCTGGGGGCAGAGGCGGGGGGGCATACAGTACCTTTTCGACATGGCGACAGCCTTTTTGTAGGGATCGTCGTAGCTGGCCCGGGGTGGGGAGAGACGGGTACGCTCATAGGGCGGCGGGGTGCTGTTGGCGTTGGCAACGGCCCCCTGGGACATGGACAGGTAGGCTGCAGACGGCTGACCTGCCCCATCGTAGGCATTGCCCGGCTGGCCACGGTAGGAGGCAGCAGCCTGGGGATGCTGCTGGGCAGCATAGGAAGCAGCCAATGAGGCTGACGACTGAGCGCGGTACGGAGCTGCCAGGGTGGCAGAAGGCTGGGCCCCATAGGCAGCTGCAGCACCATAGGAGCCAGTGGCCGCAGCAGCTGACTGAGCCCCATAGGAGCCTGACAGGCCCATTGATGCTTGAGCCCCATAACTATTCAGCTGGGTCTGAACAACCGGCTGGGCCCCATAGGAGCCAGCCATTGGGGTAGTGGCTTGTGCAGCATAGGCAGCTGGTTGGCTGGCATAGGCAGCAGCTGTAGCTGGCTGTGCCACATAGGCAGCCGGCTGGGAAGAGTAGGAAGCAGCCTGCTGTGCAGCATACGGGGCAGACTGGGCATTGTAAGAGGCCGAGGGCTGGGCATTGTAAGAAGCTGCCTGGGCCCCATAAGCAAGTGAGGAGGCTGCAGACTGGGCTCCATAGGAGGCTGCCTGGGCCCCATAGGAGCCTAGGGAGGAAGCTGCTCCCTGGGTGTTGTAAGAGGAGGCAGCCGCACGAACCCCATAGGAGGAGGCAGCCTGCGCGCCATAAGAGGATGGCTGGTTACCATAGGAGGCAAGGGAGGAACCCTGAGCCCCATAGGAGTTGAGCGAGGAAGCCGCAGCTGGCTGACCCCCATAGGAGGAGAGGGCTGAGGCCGAGGGCTGAGCTCCACCATATGGGCCAAGCGAGGAAGCTGCAGCAGACTGGGAGCTAGGACTAGCCAGCTGGCCCCTGTATGGGGCCCCAAGGGAGACAGAGGGCTGAGCGCGGTAAGAGGCTGCCTGGGCTGTCATGGGCTGAGTCCGATAGCCGACACCCAAAGAGGCAGATGGCTGGGCCCTGTAGGCAGCTCCCAACGACACTGAGGGCTGGGCCCGGTAGGTGGCTGGCTGGGCCGTCAGAGGAGCCACATAGGAGGCTCGGGGAGGTGAACGGCGCAGGGGGCTGCGGTCGCGACCAAAGAAGGGTGGTGTGGGCTGACGGGCTTGCCCATCAAAGCCACCAGTGCTGTTGCCAAAAGCCTGCTGGTAGTCGAAGGTGGCAGAGAAGCCACCAGTTCCAGGGAATGCCGTATCCCCAGCCCCTGGTTTCTTGGTCTTGTCCCCAGACTGGATAGCCAGGCCGGGCCCCTTCTTCTGACCCTTGGTTGAGAGTTCCACGTTGATGCGCTTGCCCTTCACTTCTTTGCCGTTGAGCTGCGCGATGGCGGCTTTGGCATCTGCTTCCTTCTCCATGTGAACAAACGCGTAGTCTGATAAAGCAGCAGACAGAGGGTTAGCGATTAGGGGGGCAGGGCATGCTACCTGATGGGTCCCAAACTGGACACACAACAGCACCCAGCTGTTGCCAGCTACCTCCAGGCCTCCAAACCCTCCTCTCCAGGAGTAGGTCATAAAACATGGTTCCCACATAACAAAGCTTCTGTCTCAAGTGGTCACCTTTCCCTACGTGTTCTCCCTATTCTCCCCTTTCCCCCGCCACATCACTCAACTCAACTCTCTGGTGAGAGAAGAGCAAAGATGAACAGCAACACAGGATAAAAATCTTCACAGCTCTCATGAGTGTAAATAAACCACCAGACAAAACACAGAAAGGGTTCCTGGATCACTCAATTATTTAGCATTCTCTAACCCAAGGTCACCAAACACTATTGCTCACCTTTGAAGCTTAACTCTGAAATACTGGAAATGACCACTTATGTCTTGGCATGACCCATATCTCAGCCCAGGGTCCAACTAAATCAAGAAAATTGGAGTGCAGTGCACAGTTCATTAACGTTCTCCAATGTGATCTCTCCTTTTTTTTTTTTTTTTCCAGAGTACTTCTGTTCTCAAAGTACCTCCATGCATAGGCCTTCATTTGGGCCTCACAACAATCCTGTGAGGTACGCAGAGCAAAGCATCATTATCTCCATCTTACAGGTGGACAAATGTGCTCAGAGAATTTGTACGGCTTGCTCTAAATCAAAATGTCTTGAAGCCAGGAACAGAATCCCAGCTCTTCCTTGCCCTTTCACTACACCAGTCTATCCCTGAGAAGTCAGTATATAAAGCAAGACCATATTAACACAACAAGAAATTCAAACTTACAAAAGGAGAAGCTGGAACTCATGTAAGCCAATGAGGCGTGGGAATGGAAACCGAGCCTCTTGGCTGAGATCAGGCCCAAGCCTCTATCCCCCAGGCTACGTTATATCCTCTACTGGTTCCTCTTCAAAGTACAGACGTATACCTTACCCCCTTGGGCTCCTGTTCACAGAACAGACAGTTTACAGGAAAGATCTTGTTTCTTAAGCTTCAAGGTGAGAAATTGCAGTAAGTGCAGCTTGCAGGCTCTCCTAAATAGGTTACCCCTGAAGTCCTCATTCAGGATTTGAATGAACTGTGGTGGGATATAAGCGTAAGATAGGATGTTGATCTCAAAGTCCTACTCATCTACCACACAGGAGAAAATTTTAGAAAGGGGAGTGGGAAGAAATTCTTATTCATGTCCAAAATCACATATCACAATGGTACAAACAAGATCTGAAAAACAATGACAAGACCATGCTCATGGCAAATAAGGCCATGCACTTAAACCCATCTGGATCCATGGCTACTTAAGTACCAAGTACCAAGATACCATCTCACATCAATTTAGGAAATGAAAAACTACCTAGATGAAATCACCAAGTTCCATTCCTGCAGATAACAAATCCTTTTAAACGACCTCTAAACAAGCATCGTAATTTCTAGATTCATACTGGGATGCCCTCTCTGGCTGCTCCCAGAAAGCAAGTCATTTTTCTTCTTGTGAGGCAATGCTACCAACCTGCTTCTCATAGAAATGAAAAAATAATCAACAAGGCATAAATCAGAAGTATGGTATGCAAAAGGAATCCTTGGTTAGGCACTTAAAAGCCTCAATTATAGATCCAGATATCGCTGAGTTAGCAAATCTGTCCTACCCACCTCCAAGTTAGGAGATTCAAATAAGAAGATAAAAGCACCTTGTAAAATATAAATAGCTATATGATAACAAAGAATTATGACGATTATTCAGGCCTAGGAATAACCATAGGCTTCACTCCCTACAGAATATTATCTTTTATCTCTAATAATAAAAAACAAAAGCTACCATACCATTTATACATGCAAACTTGGAACCTGCCAGAGAGGATTAAAAAAAACAAAATCAACTATCACAACTCTCAGTCCTCACACCCCCATGGTTAGAACCTGATTCCTTACCTGCCAATTAAGGCAAAAGTGTTCCTTTCAGCCTAGCCACAGAGTACTAGAACTGTCTTATGATCTCTCATCTCCACTTTGGGTAGAGGGAGTTAAAAATAGATACTGGTGGTCAGTGATGTCTTTAAAAGCAGAGACTGAGCTGACCCTCCAGAGAATGCAAGGACAAACAAAAAGTGGGAGCTTGTAGGCAGATTAAGGGAAATGGAAAAAAAACCTCCAGGCAGTGTAAGAGACTATTAATGAAGGATATTATAGTCCTGGCTAAACTATCTACAAATTCCTGAGACCGGAACAAACTAGGGGAAAAAAAAACACCCAACAAAAACAACAACAACTTCAAAGGGTTTACAAGAGCAACAGGACATCCCACTGTCTACTCCCTACCTTAGCCAGGTTTTATTAAGAAACCAACCAAGTTGAAATTTGAAAACTGAGATTTCACATGTACAATTTCAATTTACCACCCAGAGGAGTTCTAGAAACTGATTTTTTTAAAAGCCCTCAAATACAATTATAACCAATTTACATCAAAATGTTCCTAATCCTGACATTAAAGAGAAGTGTAACTTAGTGATCCAGCTGACTCAATTGTATCAGGGTTAACCCTGTTACAGCCAGAAGCCAAAATCAACACCTAACCCTATCAAAGATGCCCAGGAATCCAATTACTCCTAGGACGATGAAAAACCAGAAACCTAGAGAACTCTGCCTGGAAAGCTAGTTTAAGAAACAGTAACCTGTGAAGGAAATCCACTGCATTTAAAGGCACTAGAGCAAGCAATGTTTTACAGAGATCACCTATTGGTCTGGTGGCATCACAATTCCTCTAGAACCAAAGTTAAGAGAATCCAGAGTGGCGCCTCAGTGTCTCAGTCAATTAAGCATCCATCTCTTGATTTGGGCAGAAAAAGCAGTTTTCCTATCCTGAGAAGAATTAAAAACCTCTAACTTTACCCTACAGATTTGTGTATAGGAGGAAAAAATGGCCACCCACCAAGAAAAAAAAAAAAAGAGGAAACAGTTTCCTCTTCTGCCTTTCACACCTCCCCTGAAGCCTAAATGGTTCCTAAAGCTGTCAGCAACTCTCATACTTCATCTTTGAACACCCAATAGCCGTGGAGAGTGGTTACAATCCACTGTTGCCACGGAGATTTTTGCTTCATAAATCAAATCACATAGAAGCTTCAGGGGTAACCAAGCAACTATGTTTTTCCCCTATGAAATGAAATAGAACTGGTTGTCTTATGCAACCTTTAGCTTCTGTGCTTTTCAAAGACCTGACAGCCAACACCAGAGGACTCGATCATCGAATGCCCATTCCCAACCCAAGAAATGCGTTTTTATAGAGCCAGAGCCAGTCTCTTCTGCTACATTCCCAACTTAAAAGCCACACTTTCTTTCACCCCAGAGAAATAGAAAAGCATCAGTGGAGGACAAGACAGTCATATCTTTCCCAAAGTCTCTCACATCAAAGTATAGCAGAAGCTCTGTTACTTACCAGGATAACCACAAATAACAACCAACCACTACTGAGGAAGTTTAACACATTTCTGGGTGTTTACAAAAGAACAAAATAGACAAAACTTTCACTCGGAGTCAGCCAAGAGTTCTACAAACCACATGCAGTTATACACTTCACCCTCCCCGCCACTGTCACTTGCTATCAGTCCAGAGCGAATCCAGGCAAATTTTTAGTTTCCTCTACCACCTGAAAGCAAGTTTCTTGACCAATGAGTTCCATGGAGACTGTCCCCCTCAGATGTTAGTTTCTAGACTCCCAATCTAGTAGCCACCTTGCCTAAGAACCGCAAAAGAAATGTGGTAGGTCAATTAAACACAGAACTGTCATCAGGAGTCATGTACCCCCACTGGTTTCCTGGCCAGATGCCCAATCTGGAGTCCTTCCTACTCTTTAAACAAAGCAAAAATCAATGCACCATACAGCCTGCCTTAAGAGCACCCAGCAGGAAAGCCCGATTCCGGAGAGTCGTGGACTGGCATAACCTGAGTTGAGGAAAATAGAATGCAGTATTAATGCAGAACAAGAACTGCTCTTAGTAGTGGAGACTACAACCCTTTATGCTTCCCCAGCTGCAGAAAGGACAAGGAATGGCCCCCAAAATATGCCTTATTAGGACAGCAAATGAAGTGTCTTGGTGGAAAAAGGCACCTGAACCCATTTAGTTCCTATCCCCAAAACTTTTCAGAGTATGGGTAGGTATGAATTCAACACCAGGAGTAGGGCATCAGATACTCCCCCAGGTTGCATCCTTGAAGATGGCAGGGCAAAGTTAATTCTGATCTGTTCACAAGAGGAACAGAGACTGGCCACATACACAAGGACGATCCCACCAAACCTTGCCAACATAAAAGAAAAAGAACTTACAGGATAGGAACCTAGACTACAAAAAAAGTCAACTGGGTCCCAAAAAGGAAGCCAGACCTAGATTACAGTGATACATTTTCCTCAAAGAAAAGGCAAACTGGGGATGTGCCCTAAGAATTAGACTACTCCAGCAAAGCCGATGAACAAGTAAATTTGTTTAGCCAATGTTTAACGAAGACCTCTCACACACCCCTCTCCAAGTCCCCCTCAGCCACAGAGTATATGCCCCCTTGCAAAATCACCAAGTTATAAAAGAACACTGCCCTGAGGGCATGGGCTTGCAAGTAAAGGCTAAAGAGAAGAGGCCTTCATAAAACAAGCCTCCTTCCCCATTCAAAAGGTCGGGGTTTTCAGTTTATATATATCTGTATCTATAGTGGGATATAAATATATAGATATAGATAGATATATAGATATAGATATATACATATAAAATCGATCCCAAGGGGGAAAAAAAAAAACAAACCCAAGTTTGAGGGACTTGGAATACAGCGTTGCCACGCCTAACCCACCTAACAATGTTGAAAGGCCAAAGTGGTTCGGAAGGGGTCCCTCCTGTACCCACGAGTAACTATATACCCATGAGTAGACCCATGCCACACAATGCTAAAAAATCCCAGCCCGAGAAACGTCCAAGGGCCCCGTTACCTTCCGCTCGGGAGCATTCATCGGCAGGGAACACGAGGGTGGCCTTGGGGCGTCAGCCCCCACCTTTTCCCTCTTCCCTTGCTCTGACCGACGTCTGGAGAGGAAGTGGGGAAGTGGCGAAATCTTCCCCGCTCCATGATCCGGCTTGTGCCCGTCACTTCCCAATTTCCGCTCGGTGCCAGGCCCAGGAGACCAGTAGAAGGCGCGCCCCCGGTATACTCGCAAGTCTCTCAGGCGCGTCCCCGGCCCCGTAGCTCGGCTCACAGTGGCCACCGAACCCACCCAGAGCCACTTCCTCCTATCTGGAGAATGGTGCCTGGACCGCAGGGAAGGAGGGTGGCTCTACCCATCGCGCCCCCAACACCTCCGGCCTCGCTCCCGCGACTTCCCCACCCTCCCCAACCGCGCGGTGACCGACCCCCGGGAAAGGGGCGTGGCTAACAAGCAGAGTGCCCAGAGCGCGCCCGCGCCCCCGCCCCCGCTCGCCTCCGCGTTACCTTTCACCACGTCACACTCGATGACGCGTCCGCGGCGCTCGAAGAGGCTGCGCAATTCCTGGCTCGTGCACGCAGCCGACACATTGCCCACGAAAATCTTCCAAGTGTTAAGAGGCCGTGGGCGCGACATCTCCACCACGAGCGCGCGCCCAGGCCGCAGCTCGTGGCCGTGCAGGGCCTCGATGGCGCGCAGCGCGCCTGCATTCTCGCGCATGTGCACGAAGGCGAACTGTTTCATGACGGCGCAGCTCATGACCGTGCCGTAGGGCGCGAAGAGGGCTGCTAGCTCCTCTGGCGTTGTATCTGCCCCATCGACGTTTCCCACGAATATCTTCATTTTGCCGCCGCAGCCGCCTTCCCGGGGAGCCGGGACCTCTCCTCCAGCGACAGGCAAGACGTCCGACCGGCCGGCAGTCCTCCCCAGGAATGGCTGGCGACCGAGAACCCCGCCGCGCAGGCGCTCTGACCAAGCCAATCGGGGCCCGCATCCCGCGCGACCCGCAGCCAATCAGAGAAGCTGAAAGAAGATGCGCTCAGGCGCAGCCAATCCCAGAGGGTCTGGAGCCCGCTTGTTAGCCGAGGGGGCGGGAAAGGGACGGCGGCGCGCGACCAACCGCCACTGCCGGGGGGAGGGGGAAAAGAAGGGTTGGAGAAGGGGGAATGCGCGCGGGGAACGTCGGCGGCCTAGAGGCCTACTCGGTGAGACGGCCTCTGGCCCGGGTGGGGCAGGGATCGGCGGACCCAAGGAAAAACTTTGTTCAGCCGGAAGTCAGAGCTCCTCCCATTCTGACTGCCTAGGCCAAACCCGCGCCTGGAGGTGGCTACGAGCTTGTCCACGAGAGGGTCGGGCCTGGCGGAAGAAACCAGGACAGCCGCCTTCGGTCAGCTAACTGTCCCCTCCAAGACTGTTGGGCTGTCTGAGGGGGCCTGAGAGGCATTTGCCCCGGAGGACCCTCGTGCTATTAATTCATTCTTTGGAAACACATTCCCTGATGTTGCTGAGGTCCTAGAAGTAGATGGAGAGTGAAAAATCAGAGTTTGGCAGAGGCCTTTGTGGCATTTTCAAAAGAGGAATAATGAGTTGTATCTCCCTTGGTGTGCGCTTGAAATTATCCACAATAAAAAGTTTAGTGAAACAATATTGGGTCAAAAGAATGGTCCCTGAGGGGACAAAAGTTGAACCTTTATAGAAAACAGAAAATTCAAAACCAACAGATGTATGCAAAAATATTTTGCATAGCAGAAGAGAAAAACAAATCCGTGTGCCAAACTCAGGAAAATATTTACCTACATGTTCATGCTACAAATTTTTTGAGCACCTACCAAGTGGGCAGCACCAAGGATATAGCAGTGAACAAAAAGTGACAAAAATTCTAACCTTGGAGCTTATACTATGGTGGGAAGAAATATAATAAACAAGTAAGACTTATAGCCTGATAGTGCTAAAGATTTGAAGCAACAAAGCAAGTAAGCTCTCCCATAGGGGAACCATTCCAGCCAGAAAGTACAGGTCAAAAAGTCCTGGGGCAAGAGTTTGTCTGCTTGTTCAAGGACTAACATCATGGCCGGAGGCTATAACAGCATAAGGATGTAGGGGGAGGTAGTGGCACCCTGTGGGCCAGTGAAATGACTGGCTTTCACTCTTTTTGATTTTTATTTTTTAAGTATTCAACAATTCCATACCTCACCAGGTGCCCATCAGGACAAGTGCACTCCTCAATCCCCATCACGTATTTAACCCATCCCTCCACCCACCACCCCTCTGGCAACTATCAGTTTGTTCTCTATAGTTAAGAGTCTGTTTCTTGGTTTGTCTCGCCCTCTTTTTTCCCCTTTGCTCTTTTGTTTTATTCCTTCAATTCCACACATGAGTGAAATCATACAGTATTCCTCTTCTTCTGACTGGCTTATTCTGCTTAGCATTATTCTCTCTAGATCCTATCTATGTTGTTGCAAGTGACACGATTTCATTATTTTTTATAGCTGAATAATATTCTTTTGTATATGTATACCACAGCCTCTTTAACCATTCATCAATCAACGGACACTTGGGCTGCTTCCATATCTTGGCTATTGTAAATAATGCTGCCACAAACATAAGGGTGCATGTATCCCTTTGAATTAGTGCTTTGTATTTTGGGGGCAAATACCCAGTAGTGTGATTGCTAGATCATTAGGGTAGTTCTATTTTAAACTTTTTGACGAACCTCCACACTGTTTTCCACAGTGGCTGCACCATTTTGCAGCACGACCAACAGTGCAAAAGGGTTCCCCTTTCTCCGCATCCTCGCCAACACCTGTTGTTTCTTGTATTGTTGATTTTAGCCATTTTGACAAGTGTGAGGTGGTGTTTCATGGTGGTTTCGATTTGCATTTCTCTGATGATAAATGATGATGAGCATCTTTTCATGTATCTGTTAGCCATCTGTAGGTCTTTTATGGAGAAATGTCTGTTCATATCTCCTGCCCATTTTTTAATTGGGTTGTTCTTTGGGTATTGAGTTGTATACGTTCTTTATATATTTTGGATACTAACTCTTTATTGGATATGTCATTTGCAAATATCTTCTCCCATTCCACAGATTGCCTTTTAGTTTTGATAGTTTCCTTTGCTGTGCAGAAGCTTTTTATTTCGATGTAGTCCTGATAGTTTATTTTTTCTTTTGTATCCCTTGCTTCAGGGTTCCTATATATAAAAAATTTCTCTGGCTGATGTCAGAGAAGTTATTGCCTGTGCTCTCTTCTGAGGTTTTTATGGTTTCAGGTCTCACATTAAGGTCTTTAATCCATTTTGAATTTATTTTTTGTGTGTGGTGTAAGAAAATGGTCCAGTTTCATTCTTGTGCATGTTGCTGTCCAATTTTCTCAGTACCGTTTGCTGAAGAGAGTTTTTCCCATTGGGTATTCTTTCCTGCTTTGTCAAAGATTAATTATGGATTTATTTCTGGGTTTTCTACTCCTGGGTTGCAAGAGTGGTTCAATATTTGCAAATCAATCAATGTGATATATTACAGCAATAAAAGAAAGGATAAGAACTGTATGATCATTTCAATAGATGCAGAAAAAGCATTTGACAAAGTATAACATCCATTCATGATTAAAAATAAATAAAAACAAACCTAGATTTTACTCCTGAGGCTGAAAGTCTGTGGAGGACACATGATCCTGTAAGTCTACTTTAACATACAGAAATTCCTTTGGAATCTTCTTTATCTCTCCCTGCCCCCCCCCCCCCCCCCCCCCCGACCGAGATATATGTTAGTCATCATAGTCCAAGCTTATGGCCCACTGATAAACATCTGAAGGGGTTCATTACTGAGTTTTTTCTAAACAGTAATAAATGACATTTTCCTAACAGTAGCTAGCCCCCTCAAGGTCCTGGAAACCTTGCTTCCAAAATTCCTTAGAGATTTATGCTACCCCCTAACCCCTTCCCAACGTGAAAGTAGGTATCACCAGTCGCAACCCTGGTGCAGCTCTTTCTGCCCATGGGTTCTGTTTCTGTGCTTTAACAAAACCACCTTTTTGTGCTGGGGGGCAGGGAAGGAAGTCTATGGAGGGCAGAGGGGTTCATCCAATATGGCTTATCTTCCATAGTTTTTATTTTTTTTTTTTTTTAATTTTTTTTCAACGTTTTTTATTTATTTTGGGGACAGAGAGAGACAGAGCATGAACGGGGGAGGGGCAGAGAGAGAGGGAGACACAGAATCGGAAACAGGCTCCAGGCTCCGAGCCATCAGCCCAGAGCCTGACGCGGGGCTCGAACTCACGGACCGCGAGATCGTGACCTGGCTGATGTCGGACGCTTAATCGACTGCGCCACCAGGGCGCCCCTCTTCCATAGCTTTTAAAGTATCATTCAGACTGCTATTGAAATGAGCAAAAACCAATGGAAAACAGCTGTTTGTTCAGAACACTATTGCTAGAATCCAGGAGAAAGATGGTGGTGACATGGATCAGGGTGGCCCCAGCAGAATTCAGAGGAAGTGGACAGATTTGGATGTACATGGACAGTAGAACTAACACGATACACAAATGGATATGAGTTGTGAGAAAAAGAGGACTCACAGATGACGCTGAGCAGCTTGGAAGCATGGAATTGCCATTTACTGAGATGGGGACATTGTGGAAGAAACAGATTTTCTGGAAAGACCAGAAATTCAGTTTGGGACATGATAACTTTGAGATGCCTCTAAGTCACCCAAGTGGAGACGCCAATGGGCAATTAGATAGGTTTGTGAAGTTCAAGGTAGAGGTCTGAGCCCAAGATATAGATTTGGGAGTTTAAACAGTTAATATCTATACTGTACAAAGAACTATAAATTAGTTTAAAAAAAAGAGAGAGAGTGATAAATGGGCCAAAGAGGTGAACTGGCAATTTTGTAGGAAAGGAAGTGCAAATAGCTAATAAACAAGAAACTTTAAGGGCACCTGGGTGGTTCATTCAGCTAACTGGTTAAGCATCCAACTCTTTTTTTTT